CTTCGGATACATTTGAAATTGGAATGATAAAGAGAGATTAGCATGGTACCTAGGCAAGGATGACATACACAAATTGAGAAATGGTCCCCTTCTTCTCCCTTGCTGCTTCCCAAATCAACTTTCTCTTGGAAACAAAATAGCAAAGTGAAAGCAAAACCAAAAAACAAGTTATGAACGAGTGAATGCAATATTAGACAACAGCAATTTGGTGATGGATCTGCAATAGCTTTGGATAAGGTTCAACTTGAAGGATTTCATTTCAATAAATGCAATGGTTTTTGGATGGTGTTTGTATGGTTGAAAAGCAAGGTGTACAGGAGAACAAGAAGTTGATTATGACCACAGATCTTTAGACCAATCTGTATCCAAAACTGTTAACCTTCCAAGTTAGAACAGGCAAAGAATAACTGATCGTTAATTCATTTAAAAATTAGTACATTTAAAGAATAAGGAAATGTGAAGACTTGTTCTTTCACAAAAGAAGAATTCCAATGGCAACGTACACGAGTTAAATTACCAATAAATAAGTTTGACAGAGATATTCCTAGACTGATCTTTTCTTTTCAGGTTCTCTTTTCTTTTATTTGATTTAGTCATGCTAGTGCTCGACAATTAAATGGACATTTCTCAGTGTGCTTAACGACCACTTTCCCTCTTTTACATATATATAATATATTTCTTTTTTGGGTTTTTCATCAAGTTATCTATCTATGTGGCCTAGGATTGTACATAGGTCGGATTAGTTCGGGTTTTTTAATTACCAAATTAAACTAATTGTGACTGATTATTAAATCTAAAGACCACACGAAACTAATAAAAGTCGAATTTTTCAATCTCGATTTTTCTCGAATTTTTTGGGTTTTCAGTTTTTTTCGGGGTTTTTTCATAAAGTTTTCATGATACAAAATATAGAATTTGTGCTCCAAAGAGATTTCTTTAATCCAAGTAAGACAGACTATATAAGGTGTTTTTCAAGAAAATAACATAAAATATGATATGAGTCAAAACATTATACTAAAATATTCGATACGTCATAAAGATAATAAAATCGCACAAGAATATTATTAATAAGCCATAATAAACATGAACATAATCTAAAATTACTAAGTTGCTAAAATAAGTACGACTAATAAGAACTATTATTTACACGATTAAACACTAAAAAAAAAGTTATGTATTTTATCTAATTAAACCGCAGAAAAACCAAAAAATAGATATCCAACATTATGGTCATTGCTAGTACAACAGAATTGAATGTCTTTTGTTAGCCGTAATATTGTTTTGATTTTGTTTTTAACTTTATTTGAGTTACTAACATTTATAGCTTATAAAACTTATTGGAGCATTCAAAAATTATAAGACCGAACTTAAAATAATACATTAAAAGATAAAACTATGAAAAAGTTTAATTTTTTTTATAAATTACACTGAAATAAATACTTTTATGTATAAAATATATTTAAAACTTCTGTACATGTGATGTCGGGTTGGTTTGGTTTCGCTTTGACTTCTTTTAGTTAAAACCAAACCAAACTAATTATGATCGAGTTTTTTCTCAACACCAAACCAAATCAAACCGAACCATACTCGGGTTTTTTTTCTCAGTTTGACTCAGATTATCGGCTTAGTGCAGTTTGTCAGTTTTCTTTGTACACCCCTACTGTGACCTAAAGGTGATGAGTTTCACATCATGGAAATAGTCACTATTGTTTGTCTTAGAATAAGTTGTCTACATCACACTCTGTTTACCTCGCAAATACGAGTAACAATTAAACTTGTTTGTGGTTTTAAAGATACATGATTTAATTCAATACTAATTAATAACCAAGAAATCTAACGTATAGAATAAGGAAATAAGTAAAATCAAATCAGTATGCAAGACAGTCTCGACCTCGAGCTAGGGTGGCCTCGAGGTTGGTCAAGAACAATAAAGTAAGAGCAATCAAGTAAAGAGGCAATTCTGATGAGTAATGAACAAGAAAATAAGAGAGTATATTCTTTTGCCAATGATTGATGATGGTTACAAATGATTGGGGTCCCCTTTATATAGTAGGGGAACCCTAAATAAGGTACACTTCTATTTTTAGTAAGGAATCTTATTTGGATAGCTGTCTAACCACCTAGTACGGATTCGTACTAACTCGTACAAATCTATTCCGGAATTTACGCCGTGATCTTGGGGATGTGGCGAGAATCTTGCTCTTTCTGTTACAAACCCATAACGACATCATCTCGGGGTTGGTCATATCCGGCTCCGATGTTCCTTGAGCACTTAGATCTTTGAACCTCATATTCTGCCTTCGAGCTCAAGCTCGGTCTATATTGAACTTGTTTTGGATGCGACCTCTCGAGACTACAAAATCGAAGGCATATGATTTTAACCGTATACAGATAGTCCCCATATTTCTTAGAATAAAATAATAAGAAACGGCTTGAGCCTCGATTCTCCGGAGTCCATGATGATGATGTCATTCTCGTGATGTAGGTGTTCGAGGTTATCGAAATGTCCTGTCAGTTCGCTTTCCCAAAACATTAAATGCTTGGCCAGTGGTTGTCGGCTAGCGCCATCGAATCGTCGCCGTATGCCTATAAATACAAGGTTCAAATTTGGAAATTTTTTACTTCAGTCTTCAAACCCCCTCCAAGCTTTCACTATTTTTCCCTCTCTTCATTTCTTTTCTCTCATTACTCGTTACTCCCGTTCCTTTTAGTGTCAGAAAATACCAAACTCCGTCTTTCTCTACTTCTTCTAACTTGAATCAATGGTGAAAACTTCAAAGACAGTTCCTCAAAAGGAGAAAGCTTCCTCCTCCTCTTCCCGGCCGACCAAGCTTGTGGAACCGACCCTTCACGAGATTATTCCCGGCCCTTGCATTATAAAGAAAGACTTCAGCGTTGAAAATCCCCCCGCAATCCCTGGCCGATGCGAGCATGTGTCCCGATATATCAATTCGATAACGAAGAAGCATCTCAAAGCCGTGAAGAAAGACTTTGGCTGGGGGGGACGAGGTTGTGGTACAGATCCTTGACCTAGATGAGAGCATTACCACTCACGTGGAGGGGTTCTTGAGTGTTTACACTTACCCCTTCATACTAGGTCCCCTCGACCCAGTCGTGATTCACTTTTGGAAAAGATATCAAGTCACCCTCGGCCAAATCCACCCCTCTTTCTGGCGTATAGTGATTATGCTCCGCTATTTCTCTAGCAAGGCCGAGGGACTAGAGTTCACCCTCAATCACCTCATTCGATTGTATCGGCCTCAACTTTATCGAGGGTTGATCAAGATCTAACGTCGATCGGGCAAAGCCTTCTTCGCTAGCAATGACGAGGATAAGGACCGAGATTGGATGAGTCGGTTTGTCCGAGTGAGGACCTCGGATGTCGTCCCTGAGGGAAAAATGCCATTCCCAGAGAAATGGAACCCCAATCGTAAGTGAAGTCCTTTTACCAATATCCTCTCATATTCCATTTCCGCATTTTGTAATGTCTTTACCTTTTTTGTAGCTGTTGCTTGGATGCCTCATGCGATCCTCGACCTTGAGGACTGGGTTTGAAAATTAGTTGCGACCTCCTCGTATGATGAGTGCAAATAGCGTGACTTGTTGAGGGGCAAATGGGAGGCTAAGCACCACGGTTAGTTCTTCTCCCAGGTCTTTGATGCTTTCTTTTTATTGGAGATGTTATCTCACTTATGCCGATTTTTCATTTATGTAGGTATTGGAGATGCCTCTGAAATGAGGCCAGCCCCGCCCGGGGAAGAGACCGAGTCCTCGATTCCAAAATCGGGGAAAGATAACAAGAGAAAAAGGACCTCGAAACCCGAAGACTCCTAAGAGAAGAGAGCCCCTGCTCGAAGACAGAGGAAGAAACTCATTCAAGTGGACATAGACTAAATCCACCAACTGAATGATGAGGAAGAGGACGAGGGCGAAGAATCAACGTTGGTGACCCGAACCAGGAAGCCAATTGAGGCCGTCAAGTCCTCCAAACCGAAAACTCTGCCTCGTGAAGAGGAGGCTCCAAAGAAAAGCGCGGGCAAAGCCCCCAAATCACCTTAGATCGGGATCATTCCCCCGCCTTCAACAAGTACACCAAAGGGGGCAAGTACCGAGACTCCCGAGGCTAAATAGAGCGCCCCGAGTGACTTGCTCGGGGCCATGAAAATAGGTCACTACCCTCCTCTACCATCTTATTCTAAGGAGGCAATAAATAAAGCTCAAGCTCTGCAAATGACTGACCCGAGCAGAGTCCCCGGTGAAGAAGATCCCTCCCAGGATTGCTTTACTGGGGTCGATGATGCTGCCGACCTTAATGACGCATCTACCCTCTTTGAAGAGGCTCATCATCTCTTCTCTCAGGTAAGCATTAGCTCTTATTGTTGCAATTTTTTCTTCTCCTTTTACACTAACTTACATCTCTTTTTTCCGTGTAGGCCATTACCAAGTTTAGGGCCGAGCTGAGTCAATGTGAGGCCGAGCTCAAGAGATCCTCGGATGAAGGGAAGGCCCTGAGGCTCCTTTGCAGCCAAAAGGAGAAGGAGCTCAAGGATCTTCGGGAATATTTTGCCAAAGCTCATTAAAATGAGGTCGATCTAGACAAACAGGTAACCATCATTTTGCAAGAGTATAGTCTAGAAGGCTAACACTTCAGTGTCTCAGCTACAACAAAAATTGGATATGATCGGGCAACTTCGGGGGGAGGTCGACCAAGTTAAGGCCGACTACAACCAGTGGAAGGAAAATATGGATCGGCTTGCTGCTGATAAAGAGGCTGCTTTAGCCAACCCGGCCTAGGCTGAGACCCAGTTCCGGGGAGCCAAAGTGAAAAATCTGGCCCAAGCCAAGGAGATCGATGAGCTCGAGGCCAAATTTTCCGCAATCGAGGCTGAGGTTGTTGAGGCCAGGGC